TGCTCTCCACGTCATCTGAGAAATCAAGACGGGAAAGGTATCAAACCCCAGCAGGTTCAGGCACCTTCTGATGGATGTTGAGGGTGTAAACGCAAAGATTGGACAGTCGGGCAGATTGCGGGAAAGAAGAGATGCTGTCTGTCCAGTTTTTGTGTAAACAAAAATGGCATCTGCTTTGAGTTTATTAGCTGAAAGTTGAGAAAAGAAAACATCTCGTTATCATGAGAGGCATCAAGAAAATCACTGCAAACAAGTTCGTGTCATCGGCATACAGGGGCAGGAAGAAATATATTACTGCCGATAAAGATGATACTGAATTTCATCTTCACATACTAAAAACATGGGACGCTTCAAGGGCCGTGTGGAGAGTAAGAAAATAAATCGACATGCCAGGTAAGATAAGCCAACGCTGTAGTGAGTTATGTTCTTGGCTAAAAAACAGTAAGGCATTACTTCTGCCTGCATAAATTCAATCTCCTTAATCACTTTGGTGAGTTCATGCACACTTCTATTTTTCCCCCTGAGCATGTGCATTACTTGTTAATTGAGAATTAACATTTGAAAATCATATTCAATTCAGTAGCCGAGTTTAGTAGCAAAAGGAAAAAATAACCGCTTACCCATTAGTGAAGCTGTATTACATATCTGCTCAGAAATGCTAGGTGGGGTGGAAGATGACACGATTGAGGGATCCGTCGCATCAAACTGCTTCTCCTCCCTCCGCCACATCTCGATTCTCAAACTGACACTTCTTAGTACAGCTAATGCTTTCTCAGGGAATTGACCCATGGCTGACTCACTGGAAAGCATTAGAGCATCTGCCTGCTGCCCTACTGCTTCAGAAACATCAGCAACTTCTGCTCTGGTAGGTATGGGATATTCGATCATGGATTCAAGCAGCTGGGAGGCAACAACGACAGGCTTATTCAGTTGCCTGCACAGTTGAGCAACCCTCTTTTGAACCGAAGGGACCTGTTCTATTGGTATCGGTGAGCCTAGATCTCCCCTGGCTACCATAGCTCCATATGATGCCCTGATAATCTCTTCCAAATTTTTCAGAGAGTCGATACTCTCTATCTTGGCAATGACAGCAATTTGGCTGCAAAATTGAACCATCAGAACATCTTACAGCTTCAATTTAATACAATAAAATGTTATACATGCATACCGTCCAGTTGATCGAGCAGTGATATAACTCTTTAAAGTCTTAATAACTTCACTCACTGGAAAGTATTAGAGCATCTGCCTGCTGCCCTACTGCTTCAGAAACATCGGCAACTTCTGCTCTGGTAGGTATGGGATATTCGATCATGGATTCAAGCAGCTGGGAGGCAACAATGACAGGCTCATTCAGTTGCCTGCACAGTTGAGCAACCCTCTTTTGAACTGAAGGGACCTGTTCTATTGGTATCGGTGAGCCTAGATCTCCCCTGGCTACCATAGCTCCATATGATGCCCTGATAATCTCTTCCAAATTTTTCAGAGAGTCGATACTCTCTATCTTGGCAATGACAACAATTTGGCTGCAAAATTGAACCATCAGAACATCTTACAGCTTCAATTTAATACAATAAAATGTTATACATGCATACGGTCCAGGTGATCGAGCAGTGATATAACTCTTTAAAGTCTTAATAACTTCAGCAGACCTCACAAAAGACACTGCAATAAAATCAACACCCTCTGCAATTCCAAAATCAATATCCAGCCAATCCTGCAAGAATCATAAATGTTTGAAAATCATATACAAACTACTTTTCAGTTTTCTGATAGAAAGTAAGAATCAAGATGAATAAACCCTAGTGGAAAGCATGGTGAATGCATGAAGGCAACAGCTTGAGAAGAACCATTCAAAGATGCTTTTACCACAATTAGGATCTTACAAAAACGACTAAACAATGGATTGTTTGAAAGGTACCAGACCTTTGAAGATATAGTAGGAAGCATTGCATTGCGCTCCTGAACTAGACTCTCATTTCTCCAAAAAGTCAGGTTAGCACGAGGTAATAACAGCCCGGGATCCGTACACTGGCAGATTACATCTGGATCAATCTTCTCGGTCACCACAAATCTCACCATTCCACCATCAACAAGCAGCTCATCGCCAACCTTTACATCTACCATCAATTATATAAATCAATGTATTACCGTTCAATTCTTCATAGAAAAAATAAAATTGTGGTTGGTTTGAGCTGCAGAAGCAATGGAACTAAAGGTTGAATGGAAAAGATAACTCATAAATTGTTCAATTACTAAGTCGATATGATTACGGCTCTAAAAGAAGTTACAATATTGACAAACTAGCAGTCAGAGCTCTTTCATTCCCATCAAAGATGCATGAAATGGAAGTGATAGAAAGCACAACGTGGGCTGTGATCAGTGACGAATCTAGAAATATTTTTAAGAGTGGGCACACTTATTATATTAACAACACAAAATTTTTGAATGGGGTGAACACAAATAAAATTTCAAAGTGGACGCTATAAGTAAATAAGTAACTAACCGAATAAAATTAGAATTTTAGGATGTACACCCCTTGAACAACATGTGGCTCCGCCACTGATTGTGATTCATCTTACACTAGCTTTGGTTGTTCATTGATGGTATCCTTGTACAAATTTAATGACACAAAATCATAATAAGCAAAATTCCAATCACACAGTTTATCCCACAACGTAACAAAGGACGAAACATCAGTTCTGTTCAATACTTCAACTGCTCCAAAACAAAAAAGGGGTATTTTTTGTATCATTAAACTAAATATAGCACACTTTTAAAGATGATTATTGGTTAATTCAATCGAACAGATTATAAAAAATTATACCTTCAGCAAAACCATCGTAGTTAACCGTAATGGTACGCTCAGGGCACGATGAAGGATCAAATGCTCACACGGTAAACGTCCATATCTCACCATCCTGCCAAAAACGATTAAGTTTAACAATCACAATTAACTATGAATTAAATTACCTTAAGACATTAGTTAATTACCCCTGCTTTGGCAGATTCAGCACCGTTTAGATCATCCATGTGGATCTCGCTACCTTCAGTATCCATCATAACCGCCAGGGCGAACCCTTTCTCCTCGTTTAACTGTCTCACTAGCCGGATGACGTCTCTGTGCCACTCGTGGGTGCCGTGGCACATATTGACACGCGCCACGTTCATTCCTCCCACGGCTAGAGCCTCGATTTCTTCGAACTCGCACGTGCGTGGCCCGATGGTGCATACGATCTTCGTCCTTCGTGGACTCCTGAACCCGTTCTCCTTCAAGTCCACTTCCGTCACCAGGTCCACTTGTAATCCACCCGACTCCGCCGTTTTACCCGCCGTTAGCGGCATTTCAGAAGCCGCGACTTTCACGTTTTCCGGTAAAACAATTCTAGGATACGCGGTCTTCGTTGGCTTTAAAGGTGGTACGGGATTAGGTACATGAATCCTGGGATTGAAAAAACGCGTTTTGGGGAAATCCCGAAACTGTAACGGAGATAAGGAGGAAGAAAAAAGGAAGGAACCGGACATATTCGCCGAAGATTACGAGGTGAAGCAGCGAGCCCGCGCCGTCTAGTTGAGAAAGGTTTTTGGGTGGGGAGAAAGTTAGACTTGTCAGCTCACTGACAAAAATGTCCTGATTTTGCAAGTGTTTGGACTGTTATGTCCTTACAAAATGCTGTACCATTGGCGGATTCGCCAAAAGATACGGCGCTGTCGTTTGACCGTTGATGGAATGGGCTCGTCCTGGTAAGGAATACTGAATAGTATGGCCCATCTTACTCCAAACTCTACAAAGAATACTAAGCCCTTTCAGTTCATTCTGATGGCATACCGGAGCCCGCTCAAGCTACCTGCTATACAAAATCTATTGGTCACATATACGACTTGAAATTTAAATAATTCAAACTAAATAATAATAAAAGTTAAAGGTAATACGTGGTGATACATTGAAAACTTTAAATGATTTTTTATTTGAATATTTATTTTCAAAAGTTATTTGATGAACTATTATTGCAACGTTCAATTTGATTAGAAGTGTATTTGAATGAAAACATAAAAAGTTATGGATTTTTATTTAATTTTAAGGGTAAGTATTTGATTATTTTTCTTTAGAGTAGTCTGAGGTGATTACAAGGTAATATATGTTCATAATTTTTTCTTAACTATTGATAATACACACATATTTTGTGGACGTAACTGTTCAAATCCAATACCTCAATAAAAAACAACACTCCCTCTAATCATTGAGACCACTTAATGGGTTCAAATCCTTAATCACTTTAGTCCTTAAATTAGTTTGAATATTTTCATTTACTTTGATTCGGATGAAAAAGGACTATTTCGAGGTGAATCAAAGATTGAAGAAAATATTTCAAGATCTACTACACAGATAGTTAGAGTTAAGCTTTATGAAAAATATATAAATAGATTTGATTTTGTACATCTTTAACTACGTATAGTTTCCCACAATATTGTTTAGAGTATTTATTTTTAAGGATATTATTGTATTATTATAGCATATTTATGCTTTTCTTTTGATATTATAAAAAAACAAGGGTAAAGTTTACTAAAATATAATAATTTTAGTTATTAAATTTTAATAGTTATAAAATTGTTGTTAAATTTATCAAATTATTATAAAAATCATTAAATTGATGGAATTTGTTTGACCATTTTGTAAGTTACAAAAGTTTAACGACTAAAATTATCACTTGAACATAACTCAGTGACCTTTGGTATACTTTACTCAAAAGTTAGAAAAAGAAACACTAATGGGCCTAGTCCAAAACTATCGGGATGGACCTGAATGGTAGGTCTAATCACGCGTTTGGTCCGACCGACGAGTTAGGATGGCACGGAATTCTGAAAGAAAAGGAGAGGGTATTTGGTAATTAAAGTTGAAAATCCCTCGAAAAATTTGAAATGTCGAAATCGAAGTGTTTTCCCACCTAAAATTAACCGCCATTTCATTTTCCGGCATTTAAAATGACAACCAAATCTCAAGGTAATTATAAACCCAGAAATCTTATCCCTGTTGTTTCGTTCTTCCGCTGTTTCCTCACTTTCAGGCTTCCAATTCCTTTCAGTGTCTCAGGTCTCTCTTGCCACCACCTTTTTATTTTCCTCTACTGCGTTATAGATATATATTTTATCGACTCAAATTTATAGGGTTCTGAGAATCTCTTTGACTAGATCTGATTAGTATTTAGCAGATCTGGGTTCTGGTAACGTTGTGTTCGTGTTATTTTCACTTTATTTTGATTTACTGTATGAATTGAATCTTGAATGTGTGTGTGTGTTTTTTTTTTCAAAGGAAAACGAAGATGGCAGGAAAAGGTGGAAAGGGGCTTCTGGCAGCGAAAACAACCGCAGCTAGCAAGGAAAAAGACAAGGATAAGGACAAGAAGCGCCCGGTTTCTCGCTCATCTCGTGCTGGAATTCAGGTTTTTATTCTCAAAATTTACTTCCATTTACTTGGTTTTACACGGCAGAGTAGTATCGTTCACGAATTATACAACAAATAAAAGGAACAAATCGAGAACGTAGGCTTTGTGTTCGTTTTTGCATGTTTGATAATTGTAGATATTTGAACTTTTTATTGAAAATAATATGAAATAATTTGTCTCTCCAATTTTATGTATCATAAGCATAAGCTAATAGAAAGAACATCTAAAGTTTTTTTAAAAAAAAACTTGTGGTTGATGACTGAGACATTTGCAAGTTGTGCATCTTTTTTATGTCAAAACATCTGGCTCTTCATGATATTCCTTAAAGGATTTGAGTCCTGAATCATTTCTTTGAAGATTCTGGAGTTGACTTAATTGAGATTAGACAAGTGTTGAATTTTCTTCTAATGCCAAAGCTATTCAGCATGTTTTCTCTAGTGTTCTTCCACGTTACAACTCAGAGCGACCTTTTACCTTCCTACTTTCACATTTTTAGTAGGTTTAGGAGTGTTCCGAATGATGGAACAATGAATACTGTTCCCTTCTTTTGGTATATGTGTTTTAAATGATTTGTATTTCTTGGTTTAGCCTTAAGGAAAAGAAGTCCAGTTTCTTCAAATTTAAAAGCTGGTCGGGTTTGAGCATTTAAGCTTTTTGTTCTTCGTTCTGTCCGTAGTCTTTCATTTCTACTTTTCTTAAGATGTTCTTTATTGCATTTTTAAGTGCTAAGAGTAACTTTGCACTTGGTGCATCTCAGTCAGCGAAGTATCTATGCCTATAGTGTAATTTTGCATCTTTATCTGGATCACATTTTTTCTATATTACGAATTAAACAAATTTATTATGATTGTATGTACTTGGTTAATTCTATTTATATAATTGTAGTCTTTGTTGTTTCCCCGGTAAGACCATAGCAAAATGAAGGTTTTCTTTCCACCTGGTATCTGGGGTATGATTATTGGTTGTAGGTAGCCTCCTTATACGTTTCATTGTTTCCTGATATCAGTTTCCCGTCGGTCGTATCCACCGTCACCTCAAATCTCGGGCTTCTGCAAACGGGAGAGTTGGCGCCACAGCTGCTGTTTACCTGGCTTCTATCCTTGAATACTTGACAGCCGAGGTTCTTGAGTTGGCCGGAAATGCAAGCAAGGATCTGAAAGTGAAAAGAATCACCCCAAGGCATCTGCAGCTGGCTATTAGGGGGGATGAAGAGCTTGACACCCTCATCAAGGGCACCATTGCTGGTGGTGGTGTGATCCCTCACATTCACAAGTCCCTCATCAACAAAACCACCAAAGAATAGTAATGTCTGATTTCAAACAGATGTTTACTTTCAAGTACCTTTTATATGTTTGTCATGCGTCTTCTGTGTTATGTGTAGGTTTTGTTTAATCTCTCTAGAACATCTGGTTAGTGTATATGTTTGTAGTAACTCTCTAGGTTTGTTCCTTTGAACTTGTGACCTATACTTAGAGTAGGAATGATGCTTGTTGGGTACTTTTAACTAATGTTTCCTTGGATATTTTATCAGATTATGGCTGAGAAGTTCTCATACGTGCTTAGTTACATGCTACTTAGGGGGTGGGCATGGGATGTCTTTTTCTTTTGGTTGTTTTGACTCGACAATTTAAAGTTGTCACTTTATTTTATCTAGAATTTTGGGATAAAATTTGCCTTTGATCTAACTTGAATTAATATAAATATTAATTTCTTGTTTTTATTTGATAAAATAAAACTATGTATTTGATTTGTTTTTTAGGATAAAAATTGTATCTGATCTAACTAGATATATATATATATATATATATATATATATATATATATATATATATATATATATATATATATATATATATATATATATATATATATATAATTTTTATTTTTATTATGTAAAATATGGATCTAACTGAAAAAATATAAAGAAATAGATATTATAGTAATTATTTTTAAATATATAAAGCTAATTATATTATAATTTCTTAATTGAACTAGATTTAATATTTTTCGCCTTGAACTCTTGACTTTTTCCTTAAAAGAGATTGATCTTATTTAAACTCGATTTTTTTTAAATACTAATCTTATAGGGGTCGGAATCTATGTTGTTGCACCTTAAGGCGCTTGTCCAATTTGAAAACATGCTTGTCTTTACTACTTGAAGGGTATAAGCATCTAGGCAATTGCATTCTCTATTCCAGTAGTCCATATTTGAGACGGATTTAGTTAATTAGACGGTCAGTCTATCTTGTCGACCTTAATGCTCTTGTATTCTCCTCACGTTTGAAATTAGTCCCCTTTTAATCGCAAGAATTTGCTCTTTTATTTTGATTAATACTTGAAGTCCAATTTTTCTAAATTGTATTCTCTAAATAACCTACTTTGTTAATATTACAAACATGGAAGGGCCAAATAATCAAATAAAAATATTGAATATTGGGTTGTAAGTGTTTTCAGAGAACTAGAGAGATAAATTAATGTTTTTTGTATCACATAACTTTCGATTAAATTAATTACATCAGATATTTTTTTTAAAAAATATTATGTAATCCTATTTAATAATTTTTTAAATAATTTATTGCATGGCTTTTCCATGACTTTAATTCAGCTATATGGGAGTTTTATAAAGAATGCCTCGTAATCCAATTTTAATTGTACAAAGAATACAAGGACTTATGGCGAAATTAGACCCTTTGTTCAACACATTTCTAGTGTAGGCTGAATTGCTTGGCCAAGAAATGGCTTCCCTGTACCAGATCACTTGGTTTTCAGAAGAAGAAGAAAATGACTTACTTTAGTGGTATCGTGAAGCATTCAAATTTTCAATTTACCACCTTGCCGACATTGAAGAGAAAATTCACTAGACTAACAATTAAATCTCTATTTGTACTACGAATACAGTTAAGAGATAATTCTCTGTATTTAATTTATTAATAAATTAATTTATAAAATATTTTTAATTTTTTTTAAGATTTGATCTCATTAAATCAATATTTAATTAATAGTTCCAGAATCTATTAAATGATTTAAGTGACAAAAGCTAATGTTATTTTATTTAAGAGTCTTGAATTCGAGCAACTAAATCTGTAAAATATGTATGTTATCGATTGATTAAGAAAATTCTAAACACATATAAAATATTAAAAAAAACTAATAGTTCTACTTTGTTTCCAATACCAACAAAAGCAGCATCTTTAAACACCACCGTGGGTTTATATTGAGCATTGCTAACAAGTGCGGAAGATTCCAAAAAACGTCAATATATCTCTCTCTCCAATATGCTTCGTCATGCCATTTTGTTGTTATATACTCAGTACTTCCCCTCCATTCACATCAATTACCTTGCCATTAACTTTAGAATCCTCCCTTTTCCCATTATTTTTCTCTTCTTTTGGAATCAATGGAAGCTAAGTTAGTTTCACAAAGCCGGAGCCTGCCGGCGGCATCTTTGCACCGAGTAGATAAATGTCAATGTCGGCCGGTCCATGCTGTGCTAGTGAGGCCATCGGAAAACTTACCTACAGAGAGATTGATCAGGTTGAAGTTAAAGCCTGCAGATAACAAAGCTACTAGCAGTGTACATAATGATAACTGCTTTGATCTTTTGGCATTTAATTATCTATCCCGGAGTCACAAGCTGCAACAGGTTAATTTTCCATGGTTACCATGATTTTGTTTCTCTAGGATATATCAGAAAATGCAGAAAAATTGTTGTGAAATGTGTGTATGCAATGATGGATCTAGGGGCGATCGGAGATCGTTATCCTTTAAAAATTTCAAATTCTCATATATTTTAAATATTTTTTATATTATCTATTATGTTTTCACCCTTGAAATTTTATATCTCTTTAAAATATTATAATTCTGTCTTCTAATATAAAATTTTGTTTCTCTAGGATATATCAGAAAATGCAGAAAATTTGTTTTGAAATGTGTGTATACAATGATGGACCGAGGGGATGATTGGAGATCGTTGTCCTTTAAAATTTCAAATTCTCATATATTTTAAATATTTTTTTTATATTATCTATTATGTTTTCCCCTTGAAATTTTATATCTCTTTAAAATATTATAATTCTGTCTTATGACATAAAATTTTGTCTCCCTTATGTGAGTATGCAGGGCTGAAGAGCATGTTGAGTGGGTACGAGAGCTTGGTGGAGACGGCTGCAATGATGTCGAAAAGATTCAGCACTAAAACACAACAGGAGCTTGTTATTCAAGTTCTTGACAGTGCCCCCCAAGCTAATTCTATACATGGCAAGTTTATATTGCAGTGCTGGTTTACCCTATTTCATATCTTTCTGACATTCCTGGAGACTAAATGCATGCAACTCACATGAGTTCTCGTACAAAACAACAATGGCGTTTTCAAAAGTATTGAGAAACCTAAACTCAAAAACATAATATTCTTTATGTTAATCTATGAATGGGTGAAAACCATGAGAATCTTTAGAGAGAGAGAAAAAATCCAAAACAACTTTACTAGATGGGTGGGTTGAATCTTTATAATATGAACAAATAAAACCGATTTATAAAGATTGTCACATAATGATTTTTTTATAATATTTAATTCAGATTAATAAATCAACTAATGAATCGATTAATTATGATTATATAAAAATTAATAACGATATGATTTGATGTTTTGGTGATCCAATGGCAGATAAGGAGGTTGCTACCTCAATCTCAACTCACAAGGGAATACTTAGCCGTCTTCATCATTGTGTTTTTTGCGTGGCTCATCGGACCTTCCGAGGCAAGCCTATTAAAATTGTATTTATGAAAAGTTAAAAATACTTTAACCCCGTATTTATAAATTTCTAATTCCGCTCTTATATTTGCCTCATTAAAAATTTAAAAAATTATAAACAAATCATAATTTGTAATCACTAATAGTAAAAAAAACATATATTCGTATATGGATTTGTATATATATATATATATATATATATATATATATATATATATATATATATATATATATATATATATATATATACTTTCAAAATCAACCATGCGCATAAGTTAAAAACTTTTAGGTAAATTGAATTATTAGTCCTAAATTATGTGATCGATTTTATTTTCTAATTTAAGTATTATATTAAAAAATTATAAATTTTATATCTAATTATTTTAAAATATTTAATTAAAAAATAGGTATTCAAATTATGCATATTTTTCACTTAGGTGTTTAAAATCTTTTTGATACTTAAAATTTCATTATATTTTCATTTCTAACAAAGATGGAGTCGATACATTCGGAGGGACTAAGTTACTTAATTTTAAATATACAAACTTATTAAGTATTCAAACTTATATAATTTGAGGAACACAAAACATAATTTCTCTAATATTTAAACTTGTATATCATAAATTATCACTAGATTAAGAGAAAAAAATAGAGACAAAATCCCTCTCACCTCTTCTTTAATTTCATCCCTAATTTTCTAGTTTTTCTGTTATAAACCTTAAAAAATTTCCAATAAAATTTTAATATAATTTAAATAAAAGAAAACATAATTTAAATAACATAAAAACTTTAGAGATTTAAATAAAAGGAAACATAATTTAAAAGCTTATTTTTTAAAACAAAAAAAATTATGAGAATGAAAACGTAAACATTAAATACTTATTTTGATTAAAAACACTTTAAACACCTCAATGTAAATGAAATTCAATTTAAACACTTATTTTTTCAAATAAATTTCTTAATATATATATATAATTCTAAAATAATTTATAAAAATAAATAATTAGTTTTTCATTATCACCCAAAGTGCAGCAAGTTGAAGCTTGCTCATTTATGTTTTGCAATGATCTTTTGATTTTCTGCAAATGAACACTGGATTACATCTTCGGGGTGAAATGTGTATTGGAGAAGTTCTATGAGATTTCTGGTTTGAAACTTAATGTCGCAAAGTCAAAAAATTTCACCTCTGGCATGAATATTGATTTGGTAACCTTGGTGTAGGAAGCTATTGGGTTTAGAGTGGGCAGGCTCCCAGTTAAGTATCTTGATGCGTCTCTTGTTCCCAGAAAACTAAAAGAGAAGTATTCTGTTAGGTTGGTGGATAAAATCAAAACTAGACTTGGACTTTGGTCTAGCGAAAGGCTGAGTTATGTAAGTAGATTGCAACTGATAAAAGTTGTTTTGTTTAACATAGCGAAACTGTCATGATAAATGAAATTAACCAGATTTTTTCTAGGTTTGTAATACCCCAAATATTTTGTTAATGACCAAAATGAATAAATTGAAAGTTTAATGGCTAAATTATAAACTTTAAAAATTTAGGGACCAAAGTATAATTTTAAAAAGTTATGTAACTTGGTCCCGTAAACGAATAGTTTACCCCCAAGAATGATTTTTTCATGGGTTTCAAATTTTTTATACGAAGTTTTTGTTGAAAGCTATAAAGAGTAAAAGTACGAGAAAAAATCGGATAATCATATCGAATTAAAAATTCAGGAAAGAAATTTTCCTACTCATGATTTGAAGTTGGTTGCAGTAGTGTTTGTTTTAAATAATTGATGTCACTACTTGTATGGTGAAAAGT